ACCCCCTGCGAATGCCACCAGCCCAGGGTGGCCCTGGCACGGGGGCCGAGCAGGGAATTGCTGCTGCCAGTGCCAGGCCCCAGGTGCAGCTGGGGCGCTCGGCGCAGCACCCAGGGGTGATGTCCTGAGACACAAAACCCTCGGGAAGCGGCACCCCGCGAGTTCAGCCTGTCCCGACGATGCCAAACCCCTCCGAAGGGCTGCAAAAGCAGCCCCGATGTCCCAGCCTGGTCGCTGTGTCCCCAGCACAGCCCAGGGTGTGAAAGGAGCCTTGAAATGCCCCAAATTTCATCACCCGGAGCAGGTCCTGCCCCATGAGAGGCTGGGGCTGATCTCCAGAGGATCGCGGTGGGCAATTCCAGAGCCAACCCTGCAGCCCCAGCCAGCAAAGCTTCCCCTGTCCCTGCCACACGGATTTGGGATCCCCCACCTCCCGTTCCCGTTGCAGCAGGATCTCTTCAGCTCCCGGCACAGGTTTTTTGGGTAATTTTTTTTAATTTTCCCCTACCTCAGGGAGCGTTTTCCAAATCGCTCACATCAAGAGGAAAAAATGATAATGGGGCCAGCTCAGACTTGCAAAACTGATCATTAGAAAGCCAAAGGCCCGAGGGGACAAGGTGAGGATGTGGAGGAGGGGAGGATTATCCCGCAGCAGCCTCCGGGTCCCCTTGGCTCCTGCAGGGAGCAGCGCCAGCCTCGGGGAGTTCTGTGTCCCCAAGGGGCTCCTCCTGTGCTGCTCCCTGAGCAACAAAGTGAGGTGTCCTGAGAGCTCCAGAAACCTCCAGGAGATGGGGATTGTGGAGCAGGGCAGTCCCTGGGGGCTGTGACACACACAGGGGCTGCGAAAGGGGAATTGAAGGGGTGGATCACACGGAGAGGAGCCTGCCCAAGGCTCCAGCACAGCTCCAGGTTCCCCAGTGCCCTCCTCGCCTCTGCCCGCACCGCTGGGACCAGCCCAGGGCAGCCCCAAACCCTGGGAGCAAAAGCCAATTTTCAACAAGGCCCAAAAACGCCGTTTCTGAATTTAAAAAAGAATCCCAGCACCAATGTGCAGCACTCTGGTGCTTCTGCCACCAGCCTGTGCAGGATTTTAACCTCGCAGTCCAAGCCTGAAATGCAACAAAATGGGGAAGGGAAGGGAAATGCAGGTGCACCGAGCTCCCCCTGGAGCTGGCAGTGCCAGGAGTGGGGATTTTCCCAAAATTTCACCTCCCCCTCGTGTGTCTGAGTCCTCCCAGCTCTCCCATCCCATCTCCATCGCTGCTCCTGCTTCCCACACCCCATCCGGGGCTCCTGGGAATCTTCTCCAGGCGATCCCAGGCAAGAGGAGTCCTCGGGGTGCTCAGAGGAGCTCAGGGGTCCTTTTGGGGGCTCTCCTGGAGCCCCCCCAGCAGCAGCAGCAGGGCTGAGGAGGGCTCCAAGCCCAGCCCCAGGGATTCAAGCCCCTGGGAAAGCTGCGTTTCCTGGGGCAGAGCTGCTCACACACCCCAGCAAACCCAGGGGTGTCTCCGGGAGCAGCAGCCCGAGGTGGACCCGAGAGCTCCAACCCCATTTTCGGGGGGCTGCTCCCCCAGCCCTGCCTCTGCACCCCCAAAGGCTCAGGGAAGGGAGCAGCTGCAACCCCAGCACCGCAGGGCAGAGCAGCACCTCGTTCCTCCCTCCCTTGGCCATGGCAAACTTTGTATTTCCTACAAGGAAATTGAAACCTTGGAGCTGAAGGGACAGAGCAGCACTGAAATCTGTCCTCCAGAGCTCTAGGAGTGTCAGAATGTGAGGTATTGATGATTCTGAGATGGTAGAAAGTCTCTGTCTTTCACCCCCACTGTCAAAGCAGAAGCTATAATTTGTCTGTGTTGATTTTTAAGGTTGTTTATTCTGTTGATCTCTACCATGTTCTGCTGCCCTGCCCAGCTCTGTCCTGCAGGGCAGCGTGTGGGGCTCTGCCCTCAGTGGGATGTGACAAACATTCAATACCAGAAACTCCCTGGGCTGCATTTACAAGAACGTGCCAATATCTGTCACCTACGTTGGACAGTGTGTCCCCAGCCTGAACCAACAGAAAAATGCCAACACCACAGTGAGACATGGAGGGCATGAAGAAGGAGAAAAAGGAA